ACTTAGCATTTGGAAAGTTGAATTTGTTGCCAAAGCCTTAACTCGATTCGGCTACTATCTCTCTATCAAACTAATGCAGGAAAATGCCAGTGCGCATCAGATACTCGTGAACCTTGCCAGAATTTTGCACAATTAAGCCTTTCCGTTTCACACAGCTGCCATGGCCACCATGAGCCATCGGTGTTCTACAGTGTGAGCATAAACACACAGCAGCAACACTACTGCATTAAGAAATCGCACCGGAAGTGAACAAACATGCTTCAGGAGGCCCTTCAACACTTTTATGAGCTAGAACAGTCTCAACTATTAAATGTATCATGCTCCACAAATCACATGACACAAGTATTGTTACATTCTGTCAACTATGAGCAAAGTTACAGGAATTTGTCGCACGTTTCAAGCACTTTCTCTCTTTTTCATGCAACATTGTTAAAGAGCTTCAACACTAGTGCATTAAGAAATCGCACCGGAAGTGAACAAACATGCTTCAGGAGGCCCTGCAACACTTTTCTGGGCTAGAAAAGTCTCAACTATTAAGTGTACGATGTTCGACAAATCACATGACACAAATAATGTTAGATTCTGTCAACTATGAGCAAAGTTACAGGAATTCGTCGCACGTTTCAAGCACTTTCTTTTTCATGCAACAATGTTAAAGAGCTTGTTCCACAGAAATTCCGGCATGAGCATCATTGATTGTGTGCGAAAAGTCGTCATCTTATGCATGTCCGAAAAATTGCAAAATATCTAAATAAAATAAATAATAAAAATTATCGGCTCGACTGAAAATTGAACCCTGGCCATTTGCATGGCAAGCATGTGTTCTACCACAGAGCAACGTCTATGATTAGTAATAAAAATAACTTCCGCTGCTTGGAAATGCTGTGAAAATAATACACTTCACAAACACACATCCTGTACACAGGCTTCCCAGTAAAACATGCAATTATGGCATTATTGTTGCATGATACAAGATGTGAGAACATGTGACTAACACACCAACTTCACTGTTTAAAGCAGGCTATCCATTACAAAAGGCACATACATTGCTGTACGTATTCCCTTAAGACCACCTAGTGGGTGCATAGCAATTTGGAAAAGATATAACGCGCCTAACTGCTCGTGGTTTAAGACGTGCTACCCCTTACACAAAAAGCAGCCATTAGCTAAAGTTTCACTGACACAAGCTACTTTCAGCTTTATGAATTACAAATCCATAATTTAAACTTCTCAAGTAACACCATACAATCAAACGTATGCACTAGGTGGTTGAAGTATGCACTAGGGACAGGACATCGCTATTGCAATCAACTGAAAGGCGGAGCTTAAAGGGGTGGTGCCACCAAATTTTGAGGCTACCCCAAGCCTTTTGTCGGTGTCCTCTGTATGCAAGGACTCTCCAGACGAAGAGTTGGACACAACAAACGCGTAAAATACAGTTTGATTCATTTCTAAAAGTGTACCTGAATGCTCACTCTCGCGATCTAGTCCCATCTCTTGCGCAGGAACACTGACGTTTCAGAACAGGAGAAGCAACGGCAGTTGTCATGACGTCACACCAGTTTTGTAGTGACGTGAGTGACCTCTGCCATCTCATATATGAGGCTACAGTTATGAGCGTGCTGGCGTCCCTTGCAGATAGACTGTGCGCGTTGCTCGAGGACACTGGGTGCTTTCGAAGAGACACTCTACGCGTTCTTTACAGAGAATGAAGGCATTCCTCAGAGACGCCGCGCACGTCCAACAGCGGGGCTGCCCCCTCCTCCTTCAGCGTACTGTACATACGTAGTAAATATAAATGCTTTGTTTCCTGCTGGCTGCCTTTTGCCTTGCCAGTGTCTGGATGCTGCTGCAGGTGGCCACGACGACTGTCAGCGCGTTTCTTTTGCTGGTGATTGTGTGGCACGTCTGTGAGAGAAGACGAAACTCAGCACGATGTACGTCGCAGTCTTGTGTGGTCACGTGACTAAGCCACCTATGCATCGACGTCATTGCCCAACTCGGCGCCGCGAAACCGAAAATGGTCCACATAAGTAGAGCACAATTAAATTATTCATTGAAAATACATCAATCTTGGGGCGTGCATCATGCTTCCTGGAGCCGAAGGAAACGCTTACAGCAAAGAACACGCATGCCACAAATTTGGTGGCACCACCCCTTTAAAGGTCCCCCAGCGTGTCTTAATGTGATGGCCCTTGCCTGTACCGACGCTATTTTCGGTTTGAAGAGGCCAAGATAGCTTGGCCTTCTGAAACCAAAAAACCCTTCTGTCACCGTACTATATGCGTTTAAATGTGAATGCATTTCTTAGTCGGGCTATGTGAAGCATCCGGCGGCCGCGAGCCGGCAGGTGTTATCTTTTAGATGCGGAGCATCTTATACTCGCGCCTTGTAGTGCGCCGTCCGCGCCGTCCGCACCGCTTCTCGAACATTCGACAGCTGACGCGCGCGCATGCGCCGTCGCGCCGTCGCCCACTCTTCCACCATCTGTGCATCCCTTCCTCCTCTACACACCGCGCGCGCTTCACTCCTCCACCATCTGTGCACCCTTCCTCCTCTACACACCGCGTTCGACATCTACAATTCTCCTGATTCTCCAGTGGACGCGCATGTGGCGTCGCGCTTCGAGAACATTCAACAGCTGACAGTGCATGCGCCGTCGTGCTGTATATATACTCAAGGTCGGCGCTCGCTCGCTCAGTTGCCGCTCGTCGGTTGGTTTGTACGGCGCGTCGACGTCCAAGGTCGCGGTGAAATGAATTCCAACGAATCCACAAACACAATGATCGACGTCCCTTCGACCAGCGCCGCCCTTTCGCATACGTGTGTACGTGTTCACTCATTTAACACCCCCTCCTACAACCACGTTAACCAATTTAGCCATCGACCCAAGTAAGTCGCAATTTAACACCCCATTTCACAACCACGTTAACCAATTTAGCCATCGACCCAAGTAAGTCGCACTTTAACACCCCGTTAACCAATTATATGGTCCGCATCCTCCTCAGTGTTCCCCCGAGGGAAGCTGCGGGCAATTTTTTTGTTCTCCTTCCCTCTCCCATAGCAACAGCTGTGGCGCGCGTGCTAATCCTTGCCCGTAACCAGCGGAGCATGTGGTATGAGAGTGTGTAGCAGAGGGTAGGTGCAGTGCTTCGCTGCTCTCGCAATTCGCTCTCTTTCCTCTCTGCACCCCACCATCCCGTCCACTCACGCCTCACTCTGAACCGTTCGCTGGCTGGGCGCCTCTCAAGAACATCTGGAAATTGTGTGCTCAAGACGCCGCTGTGAAACGCTAACGCAGAGCAGAGAACACTGGTGCCCCACTCTCTCATTTGCTCGCTCCTCACTCTCGACCGTTCGCTGGCTGGGCCCCTCTCAACGTGATGGCAGAAGTTGGTGAAGGCGAATGTGACAGCAACGGTGCCCTCTCTCAGCGCGAGATATGCATTCGCGTTTCCTCATAATGCCCCTCGAGGAAGTGGGGACATTTTTCTTCATACTCCTCCTCGAATGCATCCTCTATCAGGCAGTATTTAATTGCTGACATTTCAAACATAGGCATTCACCTCTGAGCAGCTCAACACTAGCTTTTTCAAGAGGCGATGCTGCCTCGTTGACGATGATGGTGTTCTGTCATCGTCGGGAGCGTTGCTTAACTTTGAACTATTCCATTGTCTTTATTCCTATTCGCGACCTTCATAAACCTCTCTACTTTAGTTCTTTCTTCCCAGGTTTTGGCACCATTAAATTATCTATTTTTAACTAATTAGCTAGTTATAAATATGTGAGATCTACATGTGAGTAAGGATATAATCAAAAACTGTATTACATGCACACGTTCAAAAGAACACGCATCTTAGCTGAAGTTCATTGTTCAGATTGCCTCACCCAACTAAATTTTTCTCCTGGGGTGAAGGCAGTGAACTCTCTCAGGCCTAAATTCGCACTCCCCTGTGAGTTCGGGTTGCATATGTCAAGAATTCCATGCTCGAAATTTTGAGTTATAGGGGACGCCGCCTTTTGTGGCTTGTTATTTTGTCTGGCTTGAGGTGTTCTCTCAGTTTCTCACATGCACAACCAGAGTGTACCACTGTTTTCTAGGCACCATGAATGGCCCTTGATCCTTTCGTGGATCGCAAATTCATTGCCTGGTATCACGAGAAGCTGCAATAATGCAGGCTTGTGCAAAGCAACCAGTGGAGCTGTTTCAGCTTGTCAGTACAGTATACATTTGGATCTCATTATACAATCAATGCCAGGATCTCCATGAGTATGTGGTCATAACTTCCATCGAAATGCTTGTGTTTATTGCTTACTGTTGATCACTTCCAAGAAGCTTTAGCTTTTACACATACGTCTTGGCATTTGCAAATTATCAGCATACTAAAGAAGAAAATTATTGCAGCTGGTATCGTTGCAGCATCTGCCATCACTTTTATGTATTTGCACGCAACAAGTTGAGGAAAAGCAGTGCCAAGAAGGAGGGTAATATCTAATTGCACAAACTACCTTGACATAAGGACAGTGCATCATTTCACTTAAGGTGCAAAGCATTTGCCAATGCTATAGCTCAAATGCAAAAACAATTTCAAAAGAATTTTTAAGCTTCAAAAGCATATGCAGGTTAATAACCTTAAGAGCTTGAATGATAAGGAGATGTATGTGTAAGATATACTGTTACACTCTTAATAAAACAATTTTAACTAACGAGCACACTTTCTTAATTCATGAAATGTAGCTTCATAGCTACACGATATGTGCAAATACTGCAACATGTGATGACATTAAACTAATACTGACAAGGCTAATATCGCATTCATAAACCAACATAAGGGTCACATTATAATGCATTTCATCCCTTCAAACTCGCCAAGTACCATCCTTTTACGTGCAAGAAGCGTGAGGCCACAACTTTAAAACTCTGTTAGTATTCTTTTAAATGGCTTCACATAACAAGAAATAGCTGAAGCCAAAACAAACAAAAAATGAATGGTACTCACAATAAGGTGTTCTTCTTCTGCATTATCTGCCAATAAACTTCTTAACAAGCAGTGGAGGTGCCAGGCCATAATTTGGGGCACTTGCAAACTTCGCCCTAACCTATATGGTGACACATTTGACATCACAGACCACAATACCCTTTGTTAACTATCCACTCTTAAGGACCATTCTGGATGACTTGCTCGCTGCGCACTCAAACTTCAGCAGTCGTTGGTCATCTCAAGGAACTGCGTCGCCCAGGTCCACAAACTTCAAGCTTCCCAGTGTTATTCACAACGCCAGCTCGTGTCCAACACGTGACCTGTAACAGATCAAGCCCACCGCATCCACCTGGACGCCGATCACAATGCCACGAGTTGAGTGAGAACGCTTTATAGTCTCTAGTGACTTTTATCATAGCTTTATTTTGTGTGTTCTTTTTTGTGTGTTTGATTTGTGTTTGTGTTTAGGATAATGCATGTTTTCTATTAGTTTTTGATTAAATATGTGATGAAAATGATCTCGCATTGTCTATTCTCTCTGGATTTTTTCCATGCGATAGCGGTTAAAGACACCGGCAGGGGCAGTGGCAAACAACCACGGCATCCTTGTTGTGATCTCATTACAGCTTTCACTGTAACAAGGTGTCGAGACCACAGCAAAAAGTTTTAATTCGCAACAATCTGGTAATTTCTCCCGTAATTTCTGTGGCATAATCATGTTAACAACTCAAAAGGCATGCCATTTCTCCAACAAGAATGAATCGGTCATAAATTTGGGTCAATATGGAGATGGGCAACATATGCACCACTTTGCGGCAGAAAGGCCTCACTAGCCAGCTAGCTCTCATGGGTGAGCATTCTAGTGAGTGCTCTCTGCTCCTCACTGAACATCGCAGCTCCACACCAAAGCAGAGATCTTCCTCATGAAAATGTTGACTGCATGCACATGTTGCTGCTGGCGGCTATTCACCATTTCCAAGTTTCACCATTCAAGCTTCATGCAGCTTTGTACTCTGCTTACCCTACGGACAAGTGTGAATGCCGACACCAGGTTCCATCGTAGACGCCCTACACTGCAGCACCGAACACTGGCCTATCGTATAAGACTCCTTCAAACTGCCCATCAAAGTGCTTACAAATGTTGTCAACCGCACAGCTAGAAAACAAAAGCTTACCTATTTAAACAGAATTGCATAACAAGCAGCATTATGAAATTCTGTTTTCAGCCTATCTTGGTATCCTCGTCGCAGATGCCGCTGCCACTAATACTGCCCACCACACTGATGGTGGTGGCACCACCTTTTCCTGTGGTGGGCCCCACTCCCAATGGCATCGCATGAATGGCATAAATGAGATGTCATCGCAGTCATTTGCTTTACTGGGATACCCATGATATAACCCATGATACCCTCGATACTATGATAAAACAAAAATGTGAAATGTGATGTACCTATGATGATATGCACAGCACAACTTAACAGTGATAACGTGTACTATGTGACGTTTCGCTGTGTCATCAGCTGCGCTGACATAGCAGCGAATAACCAACTACATGCCTATAAAAGCGTGGCCCAAGAATAAATACAGATTTTTTCTTGTTCTGCAAGTGATACTGTAGTTTCTTTGAGTACGGTAGCTTGGCTGCCTAACTCTACTACACTGGCAACGAGGGCGGGACCCCAGCGGCTTTCCGCATGCTCCTTTCGTTAGTGCTGAAGGGAAAAGGACGGCTCACTGGGCGTCACTGCAATGATGAAGGTGGGAAAAATTGACATTTTTGATAAAAGGAGTGGTAGCCACGAGTCCTACCTGGAAAGATTTGAGCTTTACATCTTGGCAAAGGATGTGAGGCAAGAAGCTAGCTGTATTTTTGACAGTTGTAGGCCCTGGAGTGTATGAGGTACTGAAGAACCCGTTAACACCACACTCGTCAGCCAGCAAGACGTATGACGAGGTGACGGCTCTGTTGAAATGTCACTACAGGCCCCAAACGGCCGTGATAGCCGAATGGTGCCAATGAACCGAAGGGTGCCATTAGAACAAGAGACTGTGGCCGAACTCGTGATGCAGCTAAAGCTGTTGGCCAGAAGTTGCGAGTTTGGAAAGTTTCTGAACAAAACCTTTAGAGACACACTTTTCCCCAAACTACGTTGCACCGATAAACAACGCAAGCTGTTTGAAGCTGAAAAATTGACATTCGAAGAGGCGTGTAAAATTGCTTAAACCGTGAGCTCACCGCCACACAGACCCGGCAAATGTCGTTAGAATAGCACCAGGGTAGTTGCACAAGCGCTAAAGACTAGAAGTTGATGTTCTCAGGCAAAAGATTCATAGCAGAGACAGCCATCGGGACAGAACCGAGTGCCCAGAGTGTTTTCGTTGCGGTAAACGACACACTTTATAAAGTTGCCGGTATCGCAAATCAAAGTGCCATAATAGCAAGGAGCAAGGTAACTTGCAAACAATGTGCAGACAGCTCCTCGGCAGAACAAATACACTGAATGCAATCTATAGTCCGGCGGAGCATTCATACGAAGAGCAAGAAATATGCACTATAAAAATCAATAGGTCTGTCTACTAAGTCATGATCAAGATTGAAGGACGAGCCTTCAAAATGCAAATAGATACAGAAACTTCCGTCACTGTCATGCTGAAATCCATTTTTCGGCGCGAGTTTCTTCATCTGACAATAAGAAAGTGACTGTTCCTCTAAGGACACACACAGGGGAACTAGTGCCGGTTATAGGATCAGTGAACGTGCGAGTAACGCACGGCGATCAAACTGATACCCTACCTGTATTGATAGTAGACGGTGGTGGACAAGAGTTCCCATGTTTGCTTGGTCGCAACTGGTTGAGGAAGCAAATTGAAGTGGCTAGAAGTTGAAGCTATTGAGCAAGATCAGACTGTTGATGAATTAAGAATTTTGAGACAGTGTTTTCACCCCAGATTGGGTTCATAACTGGCTAGAAAGTGCAAGTTCTCTTGAATCCAAACAGCAAGCCAGTATTTTGCAAGGCTCGAGCAGTACCATTTGCACTCAAGCAAGCTGTGTCTGGGGAACTTTATGTCTTAGAACGGACTGGGACATTGAAAAAGGTCACCAGTAGCGATTGCACAACTCCTTTGGTTGTGGTACCAAAAGATGGGGGAGCAACAGTACGGCTGTGTGGCGACTACAAGGTCACGATGAACCCTGCGCTACACTGACTGAGCGTTACCCTCTGTCTCTGCCAGAAGACTTATTAGCAACTTTAGCAGGCTAAAAGATATTTTGCATTCTTGACCTTGCTTCCGCTTACCAGCAAGTGGAACTTGAAGAATATGTCAAAGATATTTTATTGGTAAACACAAAAACATATGACATTACATTGCTGAGTAACTCAAGGGACGAATTGCATGATTACGGAGTTAGACATGGAGAGCAGAAAGGTGGGTCTTAAAATTATTCTGCAGAAAACGAAAGTGATGTACAACAACCTCGAAAGAGAGCAGCGCTTCGAGATAGGTAATAGTACACTTCAAGTTGTAAAAGAATATGTCTACTTAGGGTAGGTAATAACCGCAAAGCCGAACCACGACATTGAAGTAACTAGAAGAATAAGAATGGGGTGGAGCACATTTGGCAAGCACTCTCAAATTATAACAGGTAGATTGCCACTATCTCTCAAGAGAAAGGCATATAACAGCTGTATCTTGCAGGTACTTAGCTACGGAGCAGAAACTCGGAGACTTACAAAGAGAGTTCAGCTTAAATTGAGGACGACGCAGCGAGCAATGGAAAGAAAAATGGTAGGTGTAACCTTAAGAGACAAGAAGAGAGCATAGTGGATTAGGGAACAAACGAAGGTTAAGGATATCATTGTTGAAATCAAGAAGAGGAAATGGACATGGGCCGGGCATGTAGCACGTAGACAGGATAACCGCTGGTCATTAAGGGTAACTAACTGGATTTCCAGAAAAGGCAAGCAGGTTAGAGGGAGACAGAAGATTAGGTGGGCAGATGACATTAAGAAGTTTGCGGGTATAAATTGGCACTAGCAAGCACAAGACCGGGTTAACTGGCGGAACATGGGAGAGGCCTTTGTCCTGCAGTGGACGTAGTTAGGCTAATGATGATGATGATGATGATGATGATGGTGATGACACACCAAGGCCTTTACCAATACCAACGGCTCCCGTTTGGCATAGCAAGTGCTCCTGCCATATTCCAGTTGCTCATGGACAGGATTTTCAAGGGCGTCACTCAAGTCTGGTGTTACATCAATGATGTCATCATAGAAGGGTAAAGTATTGATGACTGTCGGCTGAAGCTGGAAGAAGTGCTGACCCGATTACGCGATCACAACATGACAGTGCACATGAAAAAATGCTAGCTCTTTTGCAGAGAAGTTCGCTACCTTGGCCCCAGAATTTCAGCAGAGGAAATCAGGCCACTGGGATCAAAAGTAAGGGCGACAAAAGATGCACCAGAGCCCACAAATCCAACAAAGTTAAGTATTTCCTTGCAATGATAACATAGCAGAGGAAATCAGGCCACTGGAATCAAAAGTAAGAACGATAAAAGATGCACCAGAGCCCACAAATATAACAAATTAAGCCTTTGCTTGGAAGGGTAACATTATAACTGCTCTGGTAACAGTTGGCAACCAGAGCAGCGCCGCTGTAAGAACTTCTGAGGAAAGGAAACCATTGATATTGGACGAACAAAAGTGTGCTCGTGTTTCAAGAAATAAATTCGCTATTCAGCCAATGGCTAGTATTGTGCAAGTATACTGGAATGTGCATGCATGCATGCAAAGCACGCAATGATGAATGGCATAGCATGCATGTCATATACGGTACAACATGAACGGCATTAATGAGAAGAGGTCATTGCAGTCATTCACTTTTCTGGAAGAACTCAATATGCATGACATCACATGATACAACAAAGATGCAATTGCATTCACTGAAAAAAGGAAAAAAAAATTGAGTTGGTCAACCATTTGCTAGTGTTGTGTAATGCTGTCTATCTAGTGAAAATTTTCAAT